ATTTATTTCTTAATTTTGAAAATGTGCAAAGCGGATGATTCTACTATAAACTTAACGGTGAAAATATCTAAAAATAAAGATTTGTGCTTTCCTAATCAACGCATAGGATCATTAGAGGAAATTAAAGGTCTCATTAGAGGGCTTGAGTTGCTTAGAGAAAATACAATTCTTCAAGGAGATGATGGTCAAGTTATGAATACACAACATCTAGAGTCTGCAAGATCGACTGGTTCCCTCAACATTACTTTGGCTAATCAATATATAGATACTGGATTACAAATCCTTGAGAAAGCATTTAATTGTCAATTCCAAGATCCTAATAATATGAAAGAAAGATTCTTGAAATATTTAAACAAAAAATACATGACTTGGAAAAGTGATACCAATCATCGTGTACCATACAGTACAATATTTCAAAGTTCCGGTTATGGGAAATCCCGACTAGTTAAAGAAGTAGCTAAGGATATTCCTACAATTTACCTTTGTCTCCGGGATGTAAGAAGTACTGGATACCCTTTACGAACAAGTTTGGGCGCAGACCTTTTTGAACGAGTGCTTGAAAATCTAAAAGAGGGAGAGGAATGGAGATTTCTGTATATTCTGCAGCTTGCTATTCAATGTTTTAAAGAGGAATTAGCAAAATGTGACAATAACTGTGAAAAATTGTGGAATAGTCAGATGGACACAGCGTTCTGTGAAAGAGTATGGGTTAATATCCAACATAAGTCAGAAAACTGGAGAAGCATATGTAATGATGAAGTGAATAATTCAGCTGATTTTATATTTGATAAAGATTCAAGTAAAGTTTCCTTTATTCTCTGCATTGATGAGGCTAGGACTCTTATACCATCGGCTAGTAAAACTTCACCATTTAGATTGCTACGTAGAGCATTAAGAAAAATAAAATGGAATGGATTTTTTGTATTGCTTTTAGATACACTTAGCAAGATATCAAATTTTGCACCTCCTAAATCAATAGACCCATCAAGTCGGGATACTTCAGACTTGCCTCTTAAATTGTTTTATCCATATTTCCGACTAACTACAATGGATGTTTTCGAATCTAATACTTATAAAGATGAGTCCTGGAATTTGGCTAAATTTGGTCGACCTTTATATATTTCATACTTGCAAAGTTGTGATGACGATCCTGAAGCCATTGATAAACTTAAGAATCTTCTTGAGCGAAAGTTACTAGGTGGAGCAAATAATTTTGAAGAAAGTCAGCAGGATATTTCTAGTTTGGCAATTTTGTCATCCATAATAGGGTTAGATATGTCCCCACAATCTCAATTGGCTTCAGAACTTGTTGCTTCACATATGACTACTTGTGTTTCTGTTTCAGAAGATAGGGAACGGTTGATTATTGCATTTCCTTCAGAACCTTTATTATCAGACGTAGCACTTAATTTTATATCAGATTCCATATTATCAAAAATATTAAAACAGTTTAACGCTTTACTCAAGAAGGGTCTTGTGGAACCTGGACCTCGAGGAGAAATTGTTAGCCGAATTATCCTTGCTATTGTGGCTTATAAGTTGAAAACTGGGACAGATAATAGTGTTCAAAAATTTCTTGAAGAACTTTATCATGAAGATTCTATGTTAGACTTGGATGGTTTTTCAGATGAATTTACTAATGGGACAGTATCATTTACTCATTTCAATGCAATTGAATATGTACCAGCAAAAAAAGATTTAAAACGGTTTTATTCAAGAAGATGTGCTTTTATTATGAAACGAAATCATCCTGGTGCAGATATTTGTATTCCTGTTAAACTAGCGACTGATACTGATAAATATAGTCTTATTATTATTCAAATCAAGAATATTGACACAACAAGTATAACAAGTGACAAAAAATATCCTGCCTCAGCTAATTCTATGCTTGATTGTAGTTATGTGTTTGAGAAATCTGATTTAAAAGATCATCATGAACCATGTTTGTGTTTATACTGGCAACTTGGATATAGTTATCACTATCAGGAAGACCCAAATGAAAGTACTGTGAAAACCCGTAAGAGTAAATCAAATTTAAACCTATGTTGAGCTACCTTTGGTTTTAAACATTATAAGATTGATGATAAAGTTGAAGATATTCTTAGTGATATATTAACTTCTCACATTTCACCATTTGATAATG